AGCCGGGTGAGGTGAAAAGCAGGCCTGCCCACAGCCCCTCACTACAGGTAGTGGCTGTACATACTTGTGAGAGGGTTTACTTGGTGGTGTTTGGAATTGAACCCACAGCCTTGTATACAGGCAAGGGCTCGCCCACTCAAGTATGCCCTGCATCCCTTATCTGTGCACTTTTAAAAACCTATGTATGATTCTATGCACTTCACAATGGGGGCAACATATAGTATGTCCCCAAAGACAGAGTGTACATGTCAAAAGAGCTAACTTGTAAAACCCCCTTGGCCCTTCCTTCCCATTTCACCCTCCGTGGTGTACTGCCACCTGCTGGTTCCTGCTGGAAAACGCCCGACGGGATCATCAGGGTTTGACAGGACCAAACAGTGAAAGGACCCAAAGGACATTTTGTGACAATTCCGCCAGCTTACGTAAAATATTTGTATACAATAGGATTTTTTTGAGAATTTTGAGAAAAAAGCTGAGATAGGTTACTTGACTTAGCTTTAAAAACCTGAGATTTCTGAACAAAACAACATCAACAGTCATTGGAGTATTTTTATGGCAATGAAGGAAATCTGCAAAGAGTGGTTATTAGAAGGCAGTAAGAATTTATAGTTTTGTGCACTACAGCCTCATGCAAGCTGTAACCAAGTCCTGATGCATCCTAATGTGGTAACTTCATTAAGAAATTCATGAGTGTGCATGTGTGTGTGCTTGTGCATGTGTAGAGGCCAGGCGGACGTCAGTGTCAAAATGTCTTCCTCAGTTGACTCTCTTTGAGCTAGGGTCTCCCACTGAACTTAGATTCGCTACACTGGCTGGCCAGCAAGCACGGGGACCCTGCTGTCTGCCCCTCCCTCTCCAGGGCTGGGAGGACAGCGCACGCTGCCCCGCCTGACTTGGACGCGATTTCTGGGGCTCTGAGCTCAGGTCCTCGAGTGTCTTCAGGCTCTTTGCTGATGAAGTCATCTCTCCGGCCCAGAAAAATCTTATTCTTTAAGGACAAATACAGAAGTGTTTTATGAACGGAATCACTCAGCGTCAGAGACCTGCTTTAGAAGCACACCTGAACGAAACCCAGCACATTGTCGATAACTACTGAAGCTGAGGAGGGGTAGATGGGTAAAGTGGCTACAAGTCTTTCTTTGCGAGAGTACATTTGCAGTTAAAAAAATTAAGAAAAAAAATTGTTTCTCTTCGGGACCAAAGGAAATATAAACCACACTGACTTCTAGGGAGCAGCGCAGGAAATAAATGTGAGTAATAGCTACGAAAACAGTGGTTGGTAAATTGTATTCAACAAATATAAAAATTATAGTCACCAATTAAAGTCTCTAAAATGACAGCAGTAAGATGGAAATTAACTGAAACTAATTTAGTTTAAAACCAGAGCTGAAAGAAAAAGAAGTTACATTTTGATGGCATCTCTCCCAAGTTCATCCTGTGTACACACAAACATGATTAGTGACTGACATTCAGGAGTGCCAAGTGTTTCTCAAAGCACAGTGACAAGCCCTGCCACACTTGCCTTACGAGGTTCGGCTCTCTCAGGTTGAGAGGAGCGCACTGCCTTTTCCTTCTCGTCAGCTCTGCAGCCTGCCCTTCTGACCCGTTCTCGGGGTTAGCGGGGTTGCTCGACACAGAACTGGTGTCCACCAAGTCCGGGAATATTCCTCTACCTGAAAGGAGTATTTTCAAATATTTGTAAAAGCATATATAAAGATATGGAAATAAGTATGAAGTAAATAAATACAGTTGGCCTAGCAAAGAGAACAAATTTTGAGAGGAAAACGGGCTTACTTCGAGTTCTCCCTGTGACAGAGACCACGGTCACAAACACCTGGGGCAGGGCAGGGTCTACCTCCCTCACGGTCCACCACTGGAGGCCATGGAGGGCGCTGGCTACTGGCTTGCTCCTCTTTGCTCAGTCTGCTTCCTTATAGGACCCAGGACCACCAGCCCAGGGAGGCCACTACCGACAACGGACTGGGCCCTCACCATCAATCACTAATCAAGAAACTGCATTACAGATTTGCCTACAGAAGGCATTTTCTCAACTGAGAGTCCCTTGCACAACGACTCTAGCTTGTGTCAGGCTGCGGTAAAACTAGCCAGCACACCACTAGCCAGGGCTACAATGTTGCAGCTCTAAAACACAAAAGCTCTTCATGTTCAACCCTTCCTAACCCTACAGCCATCTCTGCACACTCAGCACACACACAGCTCTGGCTACTCAGTGGGTGAATGTCACCTTGGGGCAGACAAAGAAGAGTTATTCTTCTCACATATCCTACCACCTGGACTCTTGTTTTTACCTAGGGTTCCTTTTATCTAGACTAGCCTTAGCCTATAAATTCTACTGTTGTATAAACACACTGAAATGTTGGTCCCAAGTAGAAAAACTTTTTTACAGACGAATGTCTAATGCTACAAAATCTTACAAACTCTCTGATGACAAAGAAAATCTTTATGCCTGGGCTTCAGGAAGAAGTGGGGTAGTAGTTTTATATAAACTATGATTATAGTATATGTTTAGAGATCCATAATGGTAAATGGTGACAGCCAGTTCCAGTGAACTTTTTCCCATGGTTCTACTTGGTTCTTGACAATAACTGTTATTTTTATAAGCAGGGTTAAGCAAAAGTAAACAATAATGCTGAAAGTCTTGACCCATCAGAGTCTGCAGGGCAACCAACATGACCATCTCTACAGCTTCCTCTAGTCATGATTCCTCACGGTCTGCTCTATAAACAACTTCCCGCACGCGGCACGGTGACCCTTACATCTCTATGTGCCCACCCTGCAGGGAGGAGCGGTCTTACTGCGGCTCTGACCACACCAACTGAAGGCAGCTGGACCGGGCCCCACCTTCCCAAACTTGCATTGCAATTAACCACCACAGCATTTACATTTAATTCCCCTCAGACACGCGAAGAGAGGTGCGATCCGCCCAACACCATCATATACTGTAGTAAAGGCCGAATCAGGTTTTAGATTGCAATTGTGCAAGAGAATCTGTTACCTTCTCAACATACAAACCTTTTATTTCTTCTGTTTCTATATGTGCAGTTATATACTGCTTTAAAATTTTTGCAAAACGCCCATTTCAACAGAAAATACACCAGTGGTCAAGTGGAAAGAATATAACTCTAAAACCTTGGCCTACCTATTTCAGACTTCTGCGTTCTGCGGCAGCTTTTCTGAGTCCTCTCCTTTGTCTTTTCAGGAGGACCACCTGCTGGAAAAATGCATGCATTCTCCAGGAAAGAACTTCCTTCCATCAGCAGATTTTTACAAGAAGTCGTCGTCAAAGGCAGGGAGCTCTCCCACACATCATCGAAGGAAGAATTCTTTATGTTAGACGAGCGCATCTGAGATAAAGGTTTAGATGCCTTTGTGCAGAAGTCCGGTTTATTCCTGGCAATTTTCCCATCCTCCAAGTAGTTTTCTTTATCAGCCTGCTGGGAGTCGACTGACTTCGTGTGGTCAGTGCTGGGTGTCATTTCCACCGCTCCATGGGTACCTGAAGAAAGAGCTAGGGGTGCCTTTCTTTTCTTTGATTTGGATGTCACTCTATCTCCTCTTTTGGCTGGGCAGCTTCCTCCTTTGGCCACGCCCAGAGAGCCGGCATCTCCCAGTGTAAGCACAATGCTCTCTTCCTGGCTCTTTGGACCAGCATCTGTTCCGTTCCTGTTCTGGTGTGATCCAGACTCCAGGGCGACAGACTGCTGCGAGGAACCTGGAAGCTGCAAAGTGCGCTCGCTCTTCCCTCCTGCCAAGATGTTCTCTGCTCTGCCTGCAAAGTCTCTCCTCTGCTTTTTAACTAGTACACATGGATCTGGAATTGGGTCACCATTTCCCTCTTTATTACTATTGATTTCTCCAGAGTAGGAACTCGTAACCACTTGGTCTTTGATACAGCTTTTAAAGCCATTCACGTCTGTATTAGTATTCTCATATATTTGGTTCACTTGAGAAACGATTTCTGATTTATTGACCTTCTGACAGACCTTCTTATTTAATGGGTCATGCACACTTCCTTCATCATTTTCATGCATTTGGTTGGTTTTAGAGATTACTTCTGTCTTTCGAAGTGCCTTCTGTCTAGGCTTCCTATCTTCTCTTGAATCCTTGTGACTAGCAGGTTGCATATCACGGTCGTGCGTTCTCATCCCCAGGAGTGTTGGAGTCTCAGACTCACATACCTTTGCACTATCTTTGTTACAAAAAGCAGACACTTCAAACTTACTAAAATCTTTTAAGGTTCTGGGGATGTCTTTATCCTTTTGAAGTAAGAAAGACTCACCCATTTCTGAACAATGATCACCTCCATCATTACTAAAATCATTCACTCTGGAGATTATTTCTGTCTTACGGTTTACCTTGTGCCTAGGGATCCTGCTAACACGGGTCTCTATCTGAGCAGGGTGCATACTGGTGACTTGCTTGGACAAATCCAGAACATTCTGCACCTGACAGTCATGTAAGCTTCCGATGTTTCTTGCGACAAGTGGAGGTGCTTCTAACTCTTTTGCAGCGTCTATGGCTCCACAGGTGGGCTCTTTACTCGTGTGGGTTTGGAGGGGGATGTCTTTGTCGGTATCCTCATATATTTGGTTCATACTAGAAATTATTTTTGTCCTCCGATTTATCATTTTCAGCTTAGGCTTATTTAGCTTGGACTGAATTTGCTGCGCATTGACCAACGTAGTCTGGGTCTCAAAGTCACATATAGTTTTGTTATCTTTTTTGGAAATATCAGCTATATGGAGTTCATTCTCAACGTCTAGCTTTTCAGAACTGGTCTCTTCATCCTTCTGGTTTGGATATAAATGATCCTTTTCTGAGTTACGAATCACAAATGTCTGTCGAGAAGGCTTACTTCTATTACAATGTAGGGCTTTCTGACACTGATCAAACTCACGATCTTGAAGGAGTCTGACTGAACATGGAGAGAAAGGGTGTGTTTCCTCTTGCTTGTCTGTTGTACATCTTTGCTTCCTCTTTTTATTTTGGATGGACTCCTGATCCAAGCTGCTTGGGAGGGTTATTTCCTTCAGCATGTTTGCCTGAGGCGGCTCAGTACTGGGAATACAATTTGGATCTTCCGAATCCCCTCTGCCATCTAAGACAACAGAGCCTCCTTCTGGTCCGTTTTCCATCTTTCCCTCAGCACCCATTTCTGAACTACCTTTACATGTTTTCTTTGATCTTTCTCTCCTTTTGTCAGACCTTGGATCTTTCACTTTTCTGAACGCTTCCTTTCCACAGTCTGTCTTTTTCTTCCTTTGATTTTTATTGCTTTTTGAGATTACAATGATTTTGTTCACTTCGCTGGCAGTTAAATCCATGTCGGCGTTTTCGTACACGGATTCTTGCAACTGAAATCCATGGGTGTTCCGCACTGTGGCCGTGGGCTGAGTCTGAGGGTCGCCAGCAGACTCAGAAGGGACGCGGGGAGAACACTGTGTATCTCCTTGCATCTTACTACTGGTTTCCCCAGCACAGCCATTTATCTCAACGTCCCAGGTGAACCCTGGACTGGACATCTGTGGGTAACCTGAGTCCGTGCCGTGCGGGTTCTCTGCAGAAGACCCCCGCTTTCTCCTCTCAGTCACATTGTTAAGCGACAGTTTTTCCCTGCTGAGACCGGAAGATGGCGCAGGTTTCACCTCATGCAGAGAACTCTTACGGCTTTTTTCTGAGTCATCACGGCTTTCTGCAAATTAAAAGAAATATAAAAATAAGTATGCTACAGTACAAAAACCATACTTGGCTATTTCACAGAGTGGACTTCTGATAAGCCGCTCTTCCTCGATCCTTGTATTATCCAGAACTCACGCTGATCACAGTTAGCCCCATGGCGGAGTTCCTAGAGGCTGTGACGCTCCACTGTTGGGCACACCCATCCTAGTCCTGAGTGAAGGTGCGGTTGTGTACATTTTCAAGGATGCAGATGTAAAGTGTGACGTGTGAGCACTCCAATTATTCTAGTTAATGTTTTTCAGCACAACTGTGGAAGGGAAGCAGCACGCTCTGAGCTCAACAGTTAGGGTTCTTCTGTTCCAGTCTGAAAATCTCCAACAAATCTGTGAGCCCGGCAGACCACAGCCCAGACCATCAATTAGGAAGACCGTGTAAATGAAATGTCTTCTCAGTGAGTCATGACCAAGCTCATTAGCACGACCAGGCTCGTTAGCATGATTAGGTTTGTTTCTGGTGCTCTGACTAAACACACACCAGCACCTAGGGGAGTGTATTTGGCTCACAGTTCTTGTTAGGGTTCACCCTCGCCAGGAAGCCAACGTGGCCAGAACCTGGAACAGACAGTGATGTGCGCACCTGAGAAGCATCAATGAACGGTGCACACTGCACTCAGCTGGCCTTCTCCACTTCAACCTAGGGATGGTGCCACCCATAGGGGACAAGTCTTCCCAGCTCAATGCAACCCAAACAATCCTCCACAGACCTGCCCACAGACAACCCCGATCTTAGGCAATCTCTCACGGAGATTACCTCTCCAGTAATGGATTAGCTAAGACGAAATCAATGTAATAGTAGTTTTCAAATCACAAGACAAACAAAATGGAAGTCTTAGTCCTGCTCATTTTTCAAGATTGCTTCCAGACTAACAGTCTTAGGTCTCTTAGGTCTCAGAGGATGCGACATTTGTCGGACTTCTTACTTCTAGCTGAAACTTGCACCAGCAGTTTTAAATGGTAGAAGCCGGCAAGTACAAGTTAGTAATGCAAGAGACCCGGCTGACTGTGGCAGTCTGAACGTGACTGGCCCACAGTCTCAGGGTGTGGACCTACAAGGTGTGGCCTTGTTGGAAGAAGCCTATCACTGTGACACAGTTCACTTCCTGTTGTCTACAGGGTGCAGAACTCTCAGCCACTTCTCCAGCCGCCACGCTCCCCACCGCGATGATGGTGGACCAACCCTCCGAAACCATCAGGGTGTCTTCACAGCTATCGAAACCTGAACTGAGACCCCAACTCATGAGCTTTTTTAGACATTGCTGTCTTCAAGAAAATCTGATGAACAACTACATAAAGTTTCTACAACAATCCTACCTTTAGGAAGGACATCAACACTAGAAGTTTGTTCTGAATAACTGGAGACACATGTATTCTGGTTATCTTCCTTGGGAAGCAATACTTCCAAGTTACACTGGCGTAAGGACAAAGATTGTCTTGAGAGCGAAGAGGCGACGTCAGGTGACGTCTTTGATGCAATTCTGCTGTAACACTTTGTTCTCCAATCATCACCACCACCATCATCACCACCACCATCATCATCGTCGTCATTTTCTGAAGTTAATGGAACCCTAAAGGCCAGTGAAAATGAGACAAGAAATTCTATGTTTTATAAAAATCGTATAGAAAAGAAAAAGATACCACAGTACATCTGCCAATAATCTGACCTGTTAGAAGAAAAGCAAAAATTATGTGAAGAAAAAGAAAATAGGGATTATTAAAGAACCAGGACAGCAGCTGGGGTGATGGCCAAGCAGCTAAGAACAGGTACCGCTCATCCCGCAGACCCAAGCGTGGTTCCCTCCACCCAGGCTGGGCAGCTCACAGCTACTCCTGCCTCAGCTCCAGAAGGGTCTGCCTCCAGTCTGCATGAGTATCTGCACTCATATAATTAAAGATAAAATATGTTAAAAGAAATGAGATACTATCAAAATTTCTCTGCAGGAAAACTTAAGATGACTTTCCTCAAGGTCTTAAAGAAAAATAATCCTTTACGATATACTTCCAGAAACCAGAATTCATACCAATCAGCGCTGCCAAAATACCTAACCCTAAAAAATAATTGCAATAAAAAAATTATGAATAATTTTCATTGTAACACACATGCAAACACCTTTAAACAACAACTATGTGTCTGCGGTTCAGAAAAGCAATGCAATGGGGGTTTAAAATCGATCACTGAGAAACACGGCCCAGCACATCAACGTATTTGCCGTGCAAAGCCGGAGGAGCTGTGTTCAGTTCCTAGAAGCCATGCGCAGAGACTCCACAGAGTAGTCCTGACATACGCAGAGACTCGAGACTCCACAGAATAGTCCTGACATGTGCAAAGACTCCACAGAGTAGTCCTGACATGCGCAGAGACTCCACAGAGTAGTCCTGACATGTGCAGACACGCCATGTGTTTGCACAGCCAGACACACATCATGTGCACAAACACACACTAATAATATCAACCAATCATTGTATTCTGTTACACGAGTAAGAAACATTAAAAACTCATTGCACTAACAGAAAAGCCTTCTTTTTAACAGCGACAGGAAAAGCCCTCGTTTAACTCCACAGCTCATGAAGAAATTCTCACTAACTAGCAACAAAGGAATTTTTATCTGTGTCTTGCTTTTTCTGAGACAGGCTGATTGTGCAGACTGACTGCACTTTGTTAATTATAATTTGACTCTTTAGATGATGGATAACTAAGAAATGGAAGAATCCTTTAATGAGAAGTTAACAACCTGACAAAGAAATAGGAAATCTGAATGCCCTTGTTAGTAAGAGAAATGGGATATTATCCAAAACTTTTTGACAACAACAAAACAAAAACAAAACAAAAACCTGTAGGCCTAGGGCCAGTGAGGGGCACCCTGGGTAAAAGTGGTTGAGTTCAATCCCTAAAAACCACAGTGGAAGGAAAGAAATGACCATTTAACGCTGTCCTCTGACCTCTGTACAAGCTCTGTGTACACACCAGACACACACACTCTCTCTCTCTCTCTCTCTCTTTCTCTCTCTCTCTCTCACACACACACACACACACACACACCATACACATTGTAATAATAAATGCATGGGAAAAAAACCAAAAAACCAACAAACAGCTGTGGGCTTAGATACCTCTGTCTAGTTTTTAGCTTGCCTTGAACTTGTGACATTTTGCCTCAGTCTGGCCCTTTATTGATCTGACTGTACTGACTGTACCCTCTCAGGGGCTGTGATTACACATGCACCACCACACCTGGCTGCATTTGAATATATTCGAAATAATAAATGCGTAATAGCCAATGTACACTTGAAAAAAATAAAGGAACAAGACAATACAATTTACAATTTATTACAATGTAAAGTTTCCTCCTTCATCAAACTACCCAATGAACAACTGTAATTCTACTGATGCGTCTTGAAATCACCTCTAATTCTCTGCTATGTGCAGGGATAGTATAGGTACATCTCCCCACACACGTGAGACCTTTACACTAAGGCAATTCATGACTGTGGATGCATTATGTAATATACAGAGTTTGTAATACTTAAACACAGATAAAAGCATCAAACTGATGAAGCCATACACTGGAGACACCAAGTGAAGCAGACAAAGTCCCAGCCACTGCTGTCCATTTTCAGTCAGTTCACCTCACTCAGCCTCAGCGCTTACTGTGCAGTATGTCAGGGCTGAAACTGGGTACTTGGATGACTTGTAACCAATAATCAAAACCAGGAAAAGACTTTAGAGAAGAGACTATCCAAAATGAGAGTTAATCTCACAGGATAAGACATGATGTTAAAAGTGGAAAGAGATATTTGCTAAGAAGGGGGGGGGGAGAAAAGAGGCCAGAAGAAAAGTAAAACTACTATAGATGAACTCAGTTTATCTGCCCTTCAGAGCCCCAAAGACCCAGTCTAAACAAGACACCACACACAACTCCCATTTCCACCTCAGTTGCACAGCTATAGGCTGACCAAGAGAACAGGGTTTCATGAAGTCTGTGATCTAAGCCAGTGGCATTCCAGCCCAGCCCATAATGCCTATGAAAATGTCTAATTCAACAAAGCACTGTAACAAACTATCTACAGTTGTTTTTCTGGTTTTAGGATGTGAGTAAATAAAACACCCAAAGCCCAACCTAACATCTTCTTAGGCAGAAACATATAAGTCAGTATCTAACCAACTTTTAAACAATTACCTTGCAAATGGAAGATGCACGGACTTGCTTTGCTTACTGATCCTTTTCCTCTTCCTAGCTGACAGGAAAAGGGGACTTTGATGGAACTGTTTGTGAATAAAACAGAGAAAATGGTGAAATAGTTGACCACCTCAGGCTTGTCATTAAAATAGCAAGCTATACCAGGAAACCAACAGACATAGCAGAACAGCTCCCACATGTGCATGTGTGCTGCTGCAGACTGACTCCCGCACTGTGCATGTGTGCTGCTGCAGACTGACTCCCGCACTGTGCACGTGTGCTGCTGCAGACTGACTCCCGCACTGTGCA